GTTTTGATTTGTTGCGTTAGATTGTAAACATTATAAAATGTCATTCCCCAAAGTGAGAACACAGCATGTGTGTTAGTCACAGTCAATAAAACCTTTACAAGTGTCATTAGGTTTGAACATTACTCTACATTCTTTTTAATGTCAAATTTCAGTACAGAACGTTTGTTTCCTCAGTTTGACATTTTCATTCCTGTAACTTCGCCAATAAAAATTTTCAGTTACGTTTTTCACAATAAATGCTTGAAATTAGGAGACACATCTTTATCAGTTAAATAAGAGGTAATTTTATTAATTACTTTGAAATGTTCTTTGTTTTTTGGCCAGTTAAAATTGGAGATGTTGCAGTGTTTTTACTAATCCTCTGTTAATATCTGATATTTTCCAGAATAATAGTGTGAATGTGGCTCTCATCAGTACCCACCATTAACAAAACACACAGCACTAGAGACCTGCTTGGAGTGTAATACTTTAGTAGAGTAGTTAGTGTTTGATTGGAGTTATGTAGCAGGTTGTGATGAGCGGCTGTGTAAGAGATCCAAATGCAGAAATCTTGAGTGAAACAACTCACCTATGAACTCCTTCACCTGTCACTTGAATGGTTCTACTATCTTGAACGTGGCCTTCTGTTGCTTGAACTCTTGCCTGGATTCATGTTTAATAAGAGAGCTTCTGTTAGAAGAAACCACACACAGTGATTCTTATATGTGAAATGGTGGGTAAAGTATTTTTCTACTTGTAATGCTGATCAGATTTATTGCTCTTTGGTTTAAATAAAGTATGTGAACTTTGAAAAGGTGGCTTGCAACTCTTTTTTTCAGAGATGTTAAAACACTTAGAATAATTGTTTTGGATTTGTTTTACAGTAAGTGTTTAACTTTACTGTATACAGCAACACAACTACACCACACCCAACAAGCCAAATAATTAAAGATCTGAAACAAAAAAGACATTCTGTTGATTAAATGCTAAATTAATTTCCAAACGCAAAAAGCTGACTCAATATCAAAACATTTTCTTATAACACAAGTCCTGTGTTTTATTTGAGAGGAACAAAAAGTCAGTCGTAGCACAAAAACTTTTAAATAAAATAATGGTTGATGCAATTGATGGCTTCCCAAAAACGGTGTTACTTTTTCTGGTTCACCCCTACCTGAATATAAATGATGATTTATAAAATAGATTTCATATTATATTTCGGTTATTTTGGTTCATTGTGAACCTCATGCCAGCCCACTTCCTGAGCACTGCCAAGGTACCCTTGAGCAAGGCACCTAACTCCCCCCCCCCCACCACCAGCTCAGGAGCGCCCAGCCCTGTGAGCCCCCTCACTCTGACACCTCTCCATTAGTGCAGGTCCATAGGATCCTGTTTGTGCATGTGTGTGTATTTCGGCCTATGTTTGTGTTTCATGTTAACTAGACAGAGTGTAAAAATGAATTTTCCCTCGCGGGATCAGTAAAGAATAAATTATTATTATTATTATTATAATGTCTGCATACTGGGAATAAGACCCCCCAAAAAAGCCATAACTTTGGTACAGGGGTAGTCCCCTGTGTACAGAGAAGTGTTTCAGATGTGTCTGTTGACTGAATGTTCAGTAAAAACAGTGAATCATTTTAATAGTTTAGTCTCACAACAGATGGATGTGATCGTATTGCGATCAGAGTTTTGAATGTTTGACTGCTATAGAAAAAGGTGACATCAATAGGTGTTTTTGGACCGAACAGTTCTGGGGACTTTTTGGGGAGGAACTATCCACTACAGAGTTCCCTGAGAAATACACATCATGGGAACTTTTTATACTGTGTCTGCATTCGCACAGCCATGGTACCTACTCTGAAGCAGGAGCCAAAAAGGTTCCTCTTAACAGGGTTCTAGGAACTGAAATAGTTCATAGTGTTGTTTATATATGTACAGCAATGTTTAACAGACAGAGGTGTTGTACAGACGTATGGCCAGGGGGACAAAAGAGTTCTTAAGTCTGTCTGTGGAACAGGATTGTGACAGCAGTCTGCCACTGAACACACTGCTCTGCCTGCTGAAGGTGCTGTGCAGAGAGTGCTGGGTGTTGTCCATGATGGAGAGCATTCTGTTCAGGGTCCTTCTCTCTTCCACTGTCACTAGAGAGTCCAGCTCTGTGCCCACCACAGAGCCAGCCTTCCTCACCAGTCTTTCCAGCCGTGCTGCAGCCCTCTTTTTGCTGCTTCCTCCCCAGCACACCACAGAATAGAAGAGGACACTGGCCACCACGGACTGGTAAAACATCTGCAGCAGCTTTTTACAGATGTTGAAGGATCCCCGCCTTTTCAGGAAGTACAGACGGCTCTGTCCCTTCCTGCAGATAGTGTCCATGTTTGATGACCAGTCCAGCCTGTTGTCCAACTGCAGCCCCAGGTACCCGTAGGTCCTGACCACCTCCACGTCGACCCCCCCCCCGATGGAAACAGGTTGGGGATGTGGTTTGTTCCTTTGGAAGTCCACCACCGTCTCCTTGGTCTTGGAGGTGTTCAGCTGCAGATGGTTTGAACTGCACCACGTCACAAAGTCCCCTACCAGGCTCCTGTACTCCTCCTCCTGTCCATCCCTGACACAACCAACTATCACAGTGTCATCCGAGTATTTCTGCATGTGGCAGAGCTCGGAGTTATACTGAATATATAATAATAATATATACTTATATTAAGAAGTTCCTATGGTTGTTGTTAGTCTTTCTTAGTCTTTTTTGCAAAGCCATTTAATCAGATTATAATCACCATAGCAAAGAGCACTCTGTCTTATAAGAGACATTTTTAGCCAGATGATATGCAACATATTTCATTCACTTAAGAATGCTTTGTGCAATTGTACATACTGCACATATATGCCACAACACGCACACACGCAGATATACTGTATAATTAATTTATTAAATCTTAATGTTTATGTAACTGTTTATTTTTATGCTTTGGCAACATTGTTGTCAAGACTTTCACGTCAATAAAGCCCCTTTGAATTGGATTGAGAAAGAGAGAGAGAAAGAGACAGAGAAAGAGAGAGAGAGAGAGCGAGGGAGAGCAGCTGAAGCTTTGAGTTTCTGAAGGTCAACATGTCGTTTTCATGTTGTCCACATCCTTCTCACATGGGAGGGTTTAAAATAGTGTATTATCATTCCCCACTCTCTCTCCCTGAATTCCGACTCTATGCACTGTCCTATCTCTCCATTAAAGGCACAAAAAGCCCCAAAAAATAAATCTTTAAAATAGTGTATTAGATTTTATTCTACATTTATCATTTGTAGCTTAAGTGTTCATACTGCATACTAAAGATTATGGCAACTTTAGTATGTTTAATGTATGCAAATGTACATGACTGGAATTAAGGACCTGTTTAACAGACATGTCAGGCTGTTGCTCTAAGCCAATGGGTCCCAACCCGGGGTCAAGAATGCCGGAGATCTCAGGCAGTGAGATCTCAGTGGAAAATGGTGGTGGTATTTTAAGAACCTGATGTTAGAATCTTTTATGTGTTCGTTCTTCAATAATGTTCATTGTTATATGTTTAATGTGAATGAAGTTGATTATTCTCTTTTATGGCTGCAGCACGGATGAAGAGCCGAAGACAAATTCCTTCAAAAAGAGATATTCTCAAATAAAATAAAATCATGTTGAAAAATTACTGGGAAATCCAACTGTAAGGAGGGATCGGGGTCAAATAAAAAAAGGTTGGGAACAACTGCTCTAAGTGATGGTGGTTATTGCGATCATACCTGTATGAGATGTGTATTCATTGAACACTACTCCATTGTAATCAGTCAGTGTTTATTCCAAAACATTACCAATCCATTGTGCACACAAAAATGCTTAAGGTTCATAGCGTTACATTCACAAATAGAAGAAAAAGTCAACACTGTTACAGTAATAACAAACTGGAATGAAAAATAACAGCACATCACAGATCAAGCTTTGTGAAAAGGAACGTTTTTAAAATAAAACTGGTTTTCAGTCAAATACATGAAAATAAATCCCTGAGTACAGCAGGACAATCACACTTCTCTGTTAAGCTAAAGTGTGTAAAGTGACATTAACTGATTATCATTATGATGTGGAGGATTTACAAATGAGCTTCTATTTTTATATCTCTAATTGTTCACTGTTGCAAATGAAGGACAGCGCTTTATTTTGTCATATATATATATTATATTTATTTTTATTATTAACAAATCCAAAATAAAGTCCAACAATGCAGTTAACTTGCTGTTACGTTGTATCTTCTGTGCCAAAGGACTACACTATTCTCCTCATTTGCAGAGTTTGTACGGTTGTATTTAAACTGTAGACAGTTAGACTTTCATTGTGAGCTTTGATACGACTTCAATTCAGCGTTGACTTAAAACTGTCAAGGCCCGTGGTAAATTACTAACTGCTAATGAGGACTGTGCGATTTACGTTACTGGAACGTTATTTGAGCTTGATGTCAGGCTGTTTTGTCAACTGCTGTTTCAAATAAAGGAACTGTCTACCTCAACTTAACTGACGTTATTAATCTATAAAGAAAAAAAAAGATTTCTGGAAAGAGCTCTATTAGCTTTCTTGTCCTGCAGGATTTATCCTATTCTTATATCTATTTATTATGAGGCTACCCCTAGCTACAAGCTAGCATCTAAACTTAGCTGGCAGCTAGCATTTCCATAAGTGAGGTTATAACCTTAACTTAGCACTAAGCTTGTAAATGGGGAAACTAGCAAGCCAACTAATTTCCTACAACGTATCCCTGGATGTGTTGTTACCCTAACCAGAGTGAACCTGAACATGAATTGATGTTTTTGATAAACAATTCAGATGTATCAAGCATGAGCTTTGAACGATTACAAAAAAACACTGAGCATGAACAGTAAGTGAGTGTTCCAACAGACAAGCATCTACCACAGACTGAACCTTACATTTTAAAGTAAACAACCCCTCTTTCTCTGTGCTTAAAATAAGGTTTACGACATATTATGCTGTACAACCATTGGTGAATGTCTTTAAATACATGATTGAAGTTAGTCCTGTGTGGCTATACCACTTGTTGTTTTCGCTTTATTCATATCTTGCTGTTACTCATCTGTAAGCAGGAAAGTGAAGAACAGATTTAACCCTTATCTTAAACTTAGCTGGCAGAACTTTCACAGCATTTAACATATGTGCAAACATGCCGTCTTATGATTCACAGTGCCACACACAAAGGAAGCTGTTGATACCTTGCTTGTTTTGTGATAACGGTACTATCTATCCTGATAGTGTACAGCACAACAGTCTTTGTTAAAAAGTAAAATCTTTACTCTCAAGCAATAAAAAAAAGTCCTTAAAACGAGAGTCACTGGCTTGTTCTCTATGATGACTGCAACTTTGTTGTGACTTCTGTGTTGTGCTTCATGTCCATGCTAACCATATAGATGTTGTTTTCATTGATGCTGTTGGAGACGCGGCATGTGTTGGATCCCAGGCAATGCCAGCGCAACTTCCTCACCTCTCTTTTGAAGTGCTGGCTGAACAGGTAATAGATCAGAGGATTGTACACAGTGGAGCTCTTTGCAAACATGCACGGCAGGAGACGGACTTCAGGGGGAATGGTGCTGCTGTCACGGAAAATAGACCACATGCTCACCATGCCATAGGGTGCCCAGCATCCTATGAAGCCTACGCTGACCAGCACAGCAATCTGCAAAATATAAGAGGAAAGTGAGGAAAAGAGTCGCACAGGATCCCTGAGGAAAAATATCACACAGGATCCCTGAGATTCTCGACAAGTTTCATTGTTAAATTACCTTCACTGACTTATCAGTATGGGTCAAGGTAGACTACAGAGTTGTGTAAATCACATTATAAAATCCAATTACATATCTAATTCAGATCAGTAAACGTTGAAATCCTGATGGATTGAATGTTCCTAAAGAGTATTTCTACTGATATGTATACTGGTTAGTTTATAGTTAATAGCTTTTCAGTTATCAAGGAGCTGAAGAAAAACTGCGGTGTAGCTTACACTGACAAATTTCCCCAAGGGGACAATAAAGTTTATCGAATTGTATTGCTGCTTTAAAAATGGTACAGTAATGAACACTTTATTTAAAAACACTTCATCACATACTGACTAGTTTAAAACATGTGGCTAATAGAAAAAAAAACATTTAAATAAAAGGATTCAAATTAAAAAAAAGATTGCAACCTGTTAAAATAAAACAGAATAGTTGGCTTAGATCAGGCCTGGCCAACCTGCGGCTCCTGAGCCGCCTGCGGCTCTTTGCCCGTTTTTTGCAACGTTATTCCCATCCATTCTGTTTGTGTTAAAAATTGTCCGTGCCCGTCAGTATGAGAGCATGACAGCAGGTCTAATTTTGATGTAGCCTGAGAGCCAATCACAAAAAATGCCTGTGAACCAATCAGCTTTGAGGGGGGGGGGAGGGCCTAATTGTTGAGTAAACAATTTGTGTGAAACAAGCCAACAGCAACATGAAAATATGAAGATGAACACAGGATGTTGTTAACAGAGTGGGAGAGTTTATATTTCTTCGCTCAATGTAATGGCAAGCCATTCTGCCTTATATGCCAGGCGTCATTAGCGCATTTCAAGGCTTCAGATCTTCAGCGTCATTTCTGTGTCTGTGTGAGGGTGTGTGTGTGTGTGTCTGGGTGTGTGTCTGTGTGTGAGTGTGTGTGTGTGTGTGTGTCTGTGTGTGAGGGTGTGTGTGTCTGTGTGAGGGTGTGTGTGTCTGTGTGTGTCTGTGTCTGTGTGAGGGTGTGTGTGTGTGTCTGTGTGAGGGTGTGTGTGTATCTCTGTCTGTGTGAGGGTGTGTGTATCTCTGTCTGTGTGAGGGTGTGTCTGAGTGTCAAGGCTATTGTTATTTTTTTTTATTTTAAAGAGAGAGAAATAAAGAAGAACATGGAGGAGGAGGACGAGAGTGAGGCAAAGAGCAAAAGAGAGGGGAAGGGACAGGGGGATGTTCATGTGTGCCTGTGTGTATGATGTGGCTCTTTGCAATAAGACAGTAAAAAAATGTGGCTCTTAGTCTCTGACTGGTTGGTTTAAGTGATATATATCATATGTATATCTCAAAAGTTAGGATAACTACATTTTTGTTGTAAGCAAAGGGCTGGTTATAGCTGGGACTATAGATTAAGGTAAGGGATCAACTTCTTGAAATAGCTTGCCAAATCAGTCATTACATGGTTACAGAGCTGTAAGACAATTTTTTTTTTTTAACATCACAATTAATCGCTGAGTTCAATAGTTAATCGTTATTAATAGCCCTTTTTATTGCATATTTGAAATTCCATTATTTTGAATTTAAGAACAGTTTTTGTTGGGCTTTTATTTTGAATGTTTGTACAGTCTTGATAGTCTTTAATAAAAAACCTGAATTGATTTTCGAAATAAAATAATGATCTTCCGGTAGATTGAAGGTTTTTCATTTAACTACATAAAAAGGAACTCATTGTGGATCAAAAACTGAATAAAAACAGCCAAAGAGAACGATGAAAAATTGAAATGTTTGACGTCACAAGATTGATATTAATTTTTGGCAATTAAGCAGTTAGGGATTTTTTTTAAAGTGAAATAAGCCATTCAAAGACGCAGCAGGGATCTTTCTTTTCCATCACTGTGACTACAGAAAGATGTTATGAAGGCTTTCAGAAAATAGCATCACCATTAATTCAGGACCTTAATTAATTGCAAGTATCGCCTTAATGCTGACATAAAAAGTATCTTGGTAATGAATAACTGGTTAAATGGATAAATGCAAACAAATTGACACATTTGCCTAAATGAATAGATATATGGGGACATATCCAATGTAATTCAATGTCAGCTAAAGGTAGTGGATAAACTAATTGGATAATAACTGAAGGTTATGCTAACTGGTCATAAAGCAGAAGGTGATAGATAAACTTATGGAGAGAATAAGCAGAAAGTAATGGATACACTTTTAATATCTAATGTAATGGATACAAATGTTTTTGATAAGCTAATGGTGATGGAAACTTTTTATATAATAAGAGGTAATATGTATGCTAACAGTACTAGTAAGCTAAATATATTGATAAATGGTAATATAACTAAAGTAATGGATATATGGTTAAATGAAGGTAAGAGATTAAAGTGTCTAATTGTTGACATTCTCAGCGCCAGTACCCTACAAAATGCATTTTTGATTTAATTAACAATTATCAGGTGGATACTATTACCTGCATACCAAAATGAACTGAGTGAATTACACAAAAATATCAGCACACTGTCAGTACAATGAAATTCAATCAACCTTAAGTGAAAATGTTTAGAAAGACTTAAACCTATAATAAAGTGCCAGAACCTACGAAGAAAGAATCACTTACTACTAACAGCCTCTGATGAAGCTTGACGATATTGGGGATTCGTTTGCTGTTGTTGATTGACTTTTTGTCCATGTAAAAGAGGTTGATGGTGATGCCGAAGTAGCAGCCGAAGATGATGAAAGAAGGGGTGACGAGGTTCAAGGTGAACATGGAGATGACAAAAGAGAAGCCCTCTGTTTTCATTTGTCCCCAGGCGAGAGAGCAGGACAGGCCGAAGGGTTCCGGGCCGTACCGTCCCCAGCCCAGAATAGGGAACATGGCCCAGATAAGAGCGTACAGCCAGATCCACATGCACAGTATCTTCACCGTCTTCATGCTGATTTTCTCTCCTGCAGGAAGAAGGGGAGAGATTTGTTTTGTAATGTTCCTTTAGTTGTTTAAGCATACTTTATGTAACTGGCAGGTTGTGTTTACTTCAGACACTTGTGTGGAACAGATTACAATTGATGCATATATATGCATAATAAGCACATCAGTTGTTAAGAGTGGGACTGTGCATTTATTATAATACAGTCAAATTGCTGATGTAAAACCAGATTAAAAGGTTTTTACCTTATTACTATAAAGGGATTTTCTTTTTGCATATTGATGGCACTTTCTGGTTTCAAAATACTAAATACAATCTGCACCACTAAATATTCCTTGACTCATAACAGACTTCTAAAGTTGAGTTTAGATTTTATTTTTGTAAAAGGGATACACATGCTTAGCCCACTTAGAAGGCTGGATGCATCCAGACACGAAGAAGCAACAGGACTCTAGACTGATTCACAAATACTGGTAATTCAAATCAAAACCTTACAAAGGATGCTTATTTATTCAATGTATGCCCTTGCATTCAACGTGCTGAGATGTCACGATTGAGTCAGCTGTTGCATTAAGTTTGTTCCAATGTTCATCAATCTTTTTCCCAGTAGGAGGATGGTAATGGGGGATTATGGATTTAGGGCATTTGACCTGTGACCCTGTTCTCTTTGCATTACTGTTCCAATAATTAAACTGGAATGTTTCAAGTTAGGGTGTGGAAGGGTAATTCTGGGATAAATGTATAATCTGAATAAGCAATATATGCATGCAAAATATTGCTAATACATATCTGCATTAACCTACATTATTGAATTATGTAAAAACAGGATGAGCAAATAACATTAGAAAACTTACATAATCCATTCTTTCTAACGGAAAGAGTATTAGGGATGTATTCAGCATGCAGGAAAAAAATAATGACGTAGGAGGAAGTTACGAATAAAGTAGCTCAAAAGGATGAAAGTCACACCAACGTAATATAGGGCTCTGAGGGGCAGATAAGACATTAAAGAGGACCCCCCTCCATGTAATATACATATCCACTCACATTTGACCTACAATAAACTTTGATGTCGGTAATATCTCATCTAAATGTTGTACAGCCTACAGGCAGAACTGTCTCATAAGTGAACCTCATCCTTGAAGACAGTTTTATGCTCAGGTTATTTTTATTCTTGCATGTTTACTGTATACCAAGTGTGCATAAGCATTTTGTTTATTTACATTATGTAATCCAGCCTATCTAACAGGCTTTGTATGTTATTCAAACTAGGTATACATTAATCTGTGCAGGCATGCTCGATGTAGGCACACATTCTGTATATATTATATTATATTTAGTCATACATCTTGTAGAATGTTTAACCACAGACTCTTGCCCCCAAGCCTTTGTTGTTTTATGTGGTTACACTGTTTGCAAACAGTACGGAAATGATCAACTTTTAGACCATGAACCATACTGAAAATGTTTCTACCGTTCTACAGTTTATTTAGCAGACGCTTTTATCCAAAGCTACATACAATTTGTCACTGTGGGCCTTTTCTGTTTATATATGTTTATATATCTGTTCAGCTTGGCTGCATCCACCTTAAACCAATTCTGGGTAAGCCTAGTCAATAGTCTAATCCTGTCCAGCTTCAACCTCCTTCACCCACACGCCACATCCTGAAACCTCCAGTCCTCGGACAATGGCCTACTCTCCATCCCCCACACCAGACTCCGCACCTATGGAAACAGGGTCTTCAGAGTCAGAGCCCCCAGCCTCTGGAATACCCTCCTCTCAGACATCCGTAATGTCCCATCTTTGGACTTATTCAAATGACTTCTCAAACACCATCTGTTCTCCACAGCCATACAGCCTCCCTTAACTCTGCCTCTCCATCGTTCTCCCATCTTTTTCTTCCTGTGTCAGTTTTGTTTGGTTATTTGTGTGTTCCTTTCACCATGTAAAGCGTCCTTGGGTCCCTTGAAAAGCGCTATATAAATGTATTATTATTATTATTATTGTTATTATTATTATATCCATCCTACACTGAAAAACCAGTCTGTTTCTCTCAGGCAAAGAGCTTCCATTGGGCTGTCACTGGTTCAAAACGCTATCAGAACGCAAAGTTAAGGAGATAATCCATTCCACTATATGGCTGTAACTGGGGCATTTGAATGGAGAGGAATGATTTTGCATTTTGTGAAAAACGATTTTACACTTTGTCAACAAAAGTCAGTGAGACAATTGCTCTAATATCTGACCATTTAATATAATGTGATAGACTGCAGCAGTTACTGTATAAACCACGATAAAGCCAATGTTAGGTCGCCCATTGGTTTGCCTTTATGGAGCCTCTTATTTTGACCATGGTGGTTTGTCTGGAGCCAGAAGTGAACAGCAGACGGCAATGGAAATCTGCAGTTGGTTGGAAAACACCAAGTTATACGTTATACGCTATAATGTTTGTGTTCATGGCTTTTTTTGAACTTCTGAATGAGCTAGTTATGTATTTCCCTTAGAAATACGGTGGTTAACTTTGGTGTTAGCTGACAGGAGATATCTATTTATTACACTAAAGTTGCTAAAAGACACAGTGTCAGGTTAAAAACACAGACAATATAAGCATACAGATAGGCTATCATCTGATGAAGTAAATGTATACTGTATGGATTTTATGTTGAACATTGCATAGAAGCCCCAGCACAAAGTAGTTTAATTACTTTCCCTCTTTGAAGTGCAGCTTGAGAAGACCTTTGAGTGGGTTTAGTTAATCTTCTTAACAGTTTGTACTTACTGATCAGTTTTAACCCCAGGCTGAATCAAGTTTTAGCTCTAGTTAGTGTAGGTTCCATGACTTCTGCTGGAATCATCCCTTTGACACAGGAAAAGTCTGCCCTTGTTATGATTTTACTTGCAGGTTTTAAAAGTTGCTGCATAAAATTTGCATTGCAGTTATGTTTTCCAAAAGTTAAATCTTAAAATACCAGGCATAATTTCTTTCAGTTTTTTCAGAACTATACTCACTGGGAGATGTCAGGTTGAGGGACACAACAAACCGCACTATGGCCAAGATGGTCAGGTTCATGATGCTGGCAACACCAAAGAAGAACCCGACCAGGCCATAATATAAACAGGTAGTGTCTCCCCCGAGCCATCGGTGGCTCCAGGCAGACGCCACAGCTAGAGGGTACATGGTGACAGCTGCTCCCAGATCTGTTACCGCCAGATTCACACTCAGCAGCTCTGGCGGTTTCATCCTGGATGATTTTTTGATTGCCATGATGATGACCAGCAGGTTTCCAATAATGGAGAGAACGGCTGAGGCACAGGGGGTGGAGAGACAGAGAGAAGACAAGAAGGAAAAGTTAATAATGAATTTTCATGTTCATGCTAATGACAAACTAGAATAGAATAGACAAACTAAAAAGCTACATTTAGGTTAAAGATCACAAATTATGCAAAATACACTTTGCCATGTTTTTATTACACTAATTTGTGTCCCTATCTACAAACCTATTGGTTATGCATACATGCGTCTGTATGCATAATGAGAATAAAATCCACAGGACTGAGGGGTCTTTATTTTTTTTGACAACTTCATTATGTTGAGCTATAAGGCTACACAGTTCCATGTTACATTAGGCTAAAAGGTTGTGTATGCTACAGGGGGCAAAGACAGACCTCCTTCACACTGACTCATTTGTTTTTCTTCTGATGTGGATTTCCTTGTTGTCGATATGTTTGATGATGAAGAAATTCGCCGTTGACACTGACTTGCTTTCAAAGAGTATAATTTTATTTAAGCAAGATATATTATATTATATTATAATTATCTCTGTCCTAGTTACATCAGACACTTCACTTCACTTTGGATGATGTGGCTTTCGAGAATGGGGCGCTCATAGAGATAAATGTATGAAGATTAAAGAGTTGCAGCTCTGTCGTCGTGAAATCAACATTTAATATAAGATGAAGAAAACACCAAACCAATTATGAGAAAAGTCCATCCTCTCTGTGTTTTGCCTGCTCCACTTTACAGAAAATGTGCGCAGGCTGTTTGGAGATTTTCCCTTCATGACATCACAAAGGGCAGTAACCCCTCCCCCCGGAGGGTGACACTCCCACAGCTAGGCATTTGTTCTGCCATCTGAGTCAGCCTTTTCACCAGAAACAACAGGGCATGGTGCAAGAAAGCCCAATCCACCCAAGCCCTTATAGAGGGGGGTGGTCGCAAACAGCTCATTTGCATTTAAAGCTACAGACACAGAAACAGCCTGTTACAAGCAGGGCTGACATATATAGGATGAGAGTGGATTTTTACAAAGAAACTTGTTCTGGGGAGCGCTGAGAATTATTTAAACTCACTGCAAAGGAGAATAATATGTGACCTTTAAGCTTATATCGATGATGTTTTGATTGCAACCCTCAATGTGTTTTTGTGTTAAATTACAGCACTGATTACATCAACCATGCACTTCATCAATTACATCACTGTTTGATAAATCATCAAACATAGTCAAAACATAGTAAGGAGTTAATTTTTTTAGAAGGTAATGAAGGTGTCCTTAAAAATTAAACCCCCATTAATAACATCATTTATACAACTATATGCAGAAATTACACAAAACTGCCTTAAGAAATGTATATCCAGGAACTGTTCGGCAGTTGTTTCTCTGAGAAATAAATTCTACAGTTTGTCTTGACTTCATAAAAAAGGTTTTATATAATAATAAGAACAACGAATTTATCATAATTAAATCTGCTGAAAAATTAAGAAAATGGATGTTTCTGATATGTTACATAATGCTTTTTGTATTTTTTTCATTCATACATGTAACCAATGCAGGGGTCTTGAGAATAATAGGAAATATCTCTGTCATTCCACTCAATCCACCTCTACTTTATTTACAGTAAATACAGTTAATGTGACATATCACTGTCTCTATTCCTTGCATGACTGTGACTCCAGAAGCTTGTTGTTTGTGTTCTGAAGTATTTATATGAAAAAGGTCACATGAAGGAAAGGAAAAGTGAGTAAACAAGGGCAGTGCATACATTAAAATTCACTTTGAGTGGTTAGCCCATTGAGATGAAACATCTCATTTCTGAGGGGAAGCGGGGGGTAAAATTAATTACATCTGAATGAAGAGCATTTGAAGCACTTTCTCACATTGAGAGCGCTCACAAATGACACATAATATGGAGCTTTTGTTACCATAAAAAAAGACCAAGTTGATTCAAGCAGCAGAAAGAGTTATTAGACATTTGAATATTTAACCTCTAATCTCTTCAAATAATATTTGGTTAATGTTAAAATATAAAACATAAAAACTTCCATCACTGTCTTAACGACATTATTTCTCCCTTGCAGGATGGACTGCTGACATTCCAGGGAGAGTCAAGCGTCATACTGTTTGATAATATGGCTTAGGCTAAGAGTAGGAAGAGGACGTTGGGGAGAGCTTGACAAAACAGTAGGCTTCTAATCACAACACAGAGCTGACTATGTCAATGCACTATGTGGGTTTCACAACAGTGCAGTTGCACTCAGAGACCTTCGGAGGATGCAAAAGCGCAAGAAACCAAAAGCCTACATAATCTTGCTTTAAGGCACAGGAGCAAGCTGCTATAATGTTAGACTTTGGAGTGATTTTTTCTTTTTTTTAATAATGTAAAAATATTAGTTTCATCCCCTCCTCAAAAAACAGATTTTTTTGTAGAGTTTTATTTTGCTTTTAAAAGAACAAATTCTAAGATTAAATCTTAATTGATCATTTCATAAAACTGATATGTAATGGTTATATGATGTCACCATAACCATCACAATTATGTAGACATCTTTCCCTATTTCAGTAACTACTTATAAAACCCAGAATGGAAAGGAAATCGGATATGTAATAAATAAAACACCCTGGATGGCAGCAGTGGGTTTTATCCCTATAGCTGGATGCAATTATAGCTGTGTGAGATGAGAGCTTCACTGTGGAAGGGGGATGTGAGCAGCAATCATAGTGCCACACATTATTAAGGCTTGCTATATTAAAGAAGTAAATGGGAGACAAACACACACATGCATTATGGTTTCAATATGTCATAACATGGAACATGCGTCTGTATGCATAATGAGAATAAAATCCACAGGACTGAGGGGTCTTTATTTTTCCATGTATTTGACAACTTCATTATGTTGAGCTATAAGGCTACACAGTTCCATGTTACATTAGGCTAAAAGGTTGTGTATGCTACAGGGGCAAAGACAGACCTCCTTCACACTGACTCATTTGTTTTTCTTCACTTTGGATGATGTGGCTTTTGAGAATGGGGCGCTCATAGAGATAAATGTATGAAGATTAAAGAGTTGCAGCTCTGTCGCCGTGAAATCAACATTTAATATAAGATGAAGAAAACACTTGAAAAGCTGGACTTCATAGACTTCTATTAGTTTCCCTTTATCATTATGCACAAACCAGTAGTTTATGTTTATCCATCGGTATATTTTCAAAAGTAAAAATCTTAATCCAATAGACACCAATGGTGGGTGTAAAAATGGATTACGCAAAAGTTTAATATAGTGGTTTTGATTTCTCGTCTCCAAATCCTTGGTAAGACATACTTTCAGTTTAATTGTGTTTTTCACTCACACATAACTGAGTCAAGCTGATATGAAAAAGCCCCTAAACGAATAGATTATAATATCATGAACTGGGTTTTTAACTC